ACAGCCCAGATAGCAGGTTCCGTTTCTACTCTGTGCGAATCATCAGATCTCACCATTAGCAATTTACATTCTACGTATGGCTTCAGGATCGTCTAGATGGGTGGTAAGAAAAGAAAATCAGCTGGGGTTGCAGCTCCTGACCACTATAGAGTGACCCATTCTTGGAAGCGAGTGTGCTTGGATATTGCTTACAGTGGTAAAGGTCATCTTTAGATTTGCAGTAGTTGACCCAAGGTTTAGACATTTAATGGATAAGCTCTAGAAATACAGATTTCCAGGCTTTAGCCATTAAATGTATAAACCTTGGGTTTATTATAACTACAAAATAAGAAAAGTATTAAAACATAGCAATCAGAAAAAGTCCAGTGAGCAAAAATGGGAAATGTTTTTCTCTCTGCTCCGCAATAAAGACAATGTTTTTCCTCATTATGGAGGAGCAATGTAGAAAAACAAAAGAATAATCAGAACACGTGGAGGCAGATAGCCCTTGCGCTATGGGTTGCTGCCAATCCAAGTTGTTTCAAAGTAGAACTCTGCAGTGAACCGCACCAGTCATTCACTCATTGAAATCCTTCAGTGTATCCCTCATGTTCTGACACATATTGCTATTATGTAAACTGGTTTTACACTGCAATAACCTATTACAAAGAAGTGAAAGGATGCTTGCAAAGAATACTGCACAAATAAACAACACTGCCACTTATTCCAGCAGCACCATACTGTTCAATAAAACCATTACTTATTGAGCGAATTGTTCCAATGCTTACTCTAGTATTTTGCTGCAATTATTCTGACTGCAGGAGCCTACATCATTTGGACTGTTTATTAAATGGAATACTTAATTTTCTGTAAAAGTTCAAACGTTTCAGGTATTTATAGAACTCTCTCATTGCATTGAATCTTCTAAAGATTATTTTTTCAACCATTCAGTCAGTCAGTCAGTTTCCAGTCACATCTAAATTCCTCAGTTCTCGCTCAGTGACTACCAATACACATTTTGAGGTAAAAGGTGCTGAATAATACATAACCAGATAAGAACCATAAATTAGGATTCTTATTTAGTGCTCCTTATGGGGTGCACTATAGACATTGCTTTGTGGCAGGGTGAGTCTATTGCTTTGGCTGTAAATGTGCAAAAGTACTTAAAATGATGGCCAACATGTCACGAGTACAAGGCATTCAAATAGCAGCCAATAAAATTACTATTAACCTCCAGTTTATAGTTCTCATTACAGATTCAATCCATTATTCTCAGAATGTTGCATCATCAATATATGCAATGTGAGCAATTTACCAGGTGCTATAGTGAAATAAGCACTCACAAATCATCTGAACTCAACATTTGTCCAAATGTCTGTCAGTCAATGTCATCGGTTTTGTATAATCTGAGCAACATAGAGAACAAACAGGTCAGTGGGAGATTTATAGCTACAGAGTTTCCAATGGTTTCTGAATTCCCAGGATTGTTCCTATATTTCCACAATTATGTTAGATCCTAAACCAATCCAGCCTTGTCGCCGATTAATCCTGACAAAATGTATAGTTTTGCCAGACCAGTGTCAGACAATATTGCACCCCTCCCCTTGAAAATGCATTTCCCAGGAATATTTTCTAAGGCAGTGGGTGGGTCAATAACAGCTCCAGCAGTCCATCCCCAAAATGGGGCTCACAAAATCACCCTCACATTAACTTATGAAGTGCTTCTTTAATCTGTATTTAATTCAGATATAACCTCACAAATCTGCAAAATAACCCTGATTATCACAAGATCAGAGACAAAGTAGCACTTCATCAAGGTGCAAGACTGAAACCAAACTACAGACTGAAATAACTGAAAGCCGGAAAATTGAGATTTGTACAAGTTGTAACAAGTTTCGCAGTATTTGCATTGAAAACTGAACAGTTTGAACAACATCATATTGAAAAAAAATTCCGTTATTAACAAATTACTGTATTCAGTAATATAAAGCACCTCCCATCTTAATGAAGTGCACTCCTCATGGAAGTTTAGCTATATTCTTCTTGTGAAAGGGTATGACATGGCTGTGAAGGCAATGGAGTTCAGGAGCACTGGGAAATGGGCAGTGCCAAACCAAGAACCTACAACATTCAATGCCATACATGCCAGCTACTGCATAGGTCACAATGAACGCAGTTAGAAAAGATCATGCAGAAAAATCAGGCACAGAGGAGCCTAATTAGGATTCAAAGTAGCTTTAGTGATGGTGGCCAGAAGCCAGATGCTGAGCACCAACTCACTTCTAAATGTCCTAAAAAATAAAATCCCTGTATCACAAACCTCGAGTTCCACTTGTTTGACTTTTTTCAGATTCTTATAGTAAGACTTTCTACAAATGGGTTTGGAATTGCCTTCACAGCTCACATGTCTTGTACTATTTCTCCAATCCTTGCAAAAAATCTCACAGCAAACTGAGAATCAGGCACTGGGGAGATTTCAAGCTTTAATGGAAAACCTTCACTTGAAAAGATTTAATATTTTAAAGGTGAAGATGGTGCATCTGTGGCAGTGACAATATGGGAGAAGAAGAATTAAGACTGTGGTTGAATTCCTGTGAAAAGAAAACCATACACTTACCATACACTTGGAATTGAAAATAAAGGTTATGCATAAAAAACAGAAGACATTTTGACTGGATATTAGCTCTTATGATGTATATGCTTTAAAAATAGATAAATTGTAGCCTCTACCACTATACCTAAACATATTAATTGTAATTCATTGCTACTTTACTATAACACGCATAATTAAGTTTATCTACTGCACAGAATACAAAAATTAACATGTCCTTTAACTCATGTTGAATTGGGTGTACAATATGGATGTTTAACGCACCAATTAATTCATGTATAAAAGCTGCTATATATAGAGAAAGTGGATTGGCAGGGAGGATAGAAAAGCTAACGCACATAAGCAGCTACCAAGGTCTCTCACAGTTAGTACAAAATGTCATCCTACATCATCCAGACTAGAAACTAGCTGGAGCTCCAGATGTTGCTTTCCATAAATAAACTGCTTTTGTCAATGGTAACAATATATTGGTTGGTTCTTACACTTTCTTACTCCACCCTACCACTGGTAAAAACACATTTCTCATGTAGAGAATATAGCACATATCACTAATCTCGTGCATAGGGTTGGATGATGATCTCCAAACTAAATTTGAACCTAAACCAAAAGTAGAGCTTTGAGCGCAATCTGGGGTATACATTTTTATTTTTTTGATGTATGGAGTTCAAATGAGTTTTTACATTATTTATGCTCAGAGTTGTTCTTTTCATCAGTTGTTGACATGACGGATGCCAGTGACAATGAATTCCAAGCCACGTTGTTCAAGGACATTCACACTGAAGCATTAACTTTGGACATGTTGGCTTAAGTGATAAGTGATAATGTACTCAGTAGTAATACTGTCAGTATATTGCCTTAGAGAATTAATCTGCAGTTGATTACCGGGAAATTCTATACTCAGCCTAATAACTTGCCTTCAAACATTTGTCTGATGTGCAAAAGATGAAGATAAACCTTGAGCATATTGTTTTGCAATAACCAACTTAACACATTGGTATTGTTGGGCAAACAACATCAAAATCAATCGAGGCACCTGCACAACTGCCTTTATTAGCCTGCTGGAAGCTTCATTTCTCAAAGTCACTCATAACTTTAGTCTTTGGTTTCCAGGTTAAAAGTAGAAACTCAAGAATGAGAGATTGCCCAAGATGAAAAATCTGCCCCTTGGCAGTTATTTCCTAAATTTCCATTTAAAAGCAGAGCAGGTAGTTATTCACTTGGTGCTCCAATATCCATGACAATTTCAGAATAATATACTTTATTAAACTAGATTATGAGTTACCGCTGCATATTCATTCTTAATGCCAATTAGTTTGATCGCTTCAAACTTCCTTAACAGGAATATCTACATTCCTTTCATGCCCACATAATGACAAGAATGCATTATGATAGTTTTAAGGGCATTTTGAAACAATTGAATTAAAAGTACCTTTATTACATATCTACATCACAACTGGCTAGATGCAGCATAAGGCTCTACTTATTCTGTTTCCAGAAATAGGACAACTGGCATTATGCTGGTTTCATTGTTGTTTCTCCAGAAGTGATGGGCAAAATTCTTTGCAGCTGTACTGTTTTGTAGAATGGCTATATCTTAAAAATTGCATACGTAGAAATGGGTGGACCATTACAAACACATCCTGAGGTTATCACGTCACAGAATCCTTCACAATTTTCTAGCTCTACGTTAATATGATTGCGCTTCTGGCATAGCTTGAAGTCGATCTTCTTCATTCAATGAAATGCCCTTTCTAAGGATTCAGAAAGTTATCACTATCCAGTAAATACTATTCAGAAGTGCATCTGCACGAGGAAGGAATAGAAGTGACACTGGAATACAAGTTGCGCAGAAGGGCTAAGGCTGGCCTTATAGAAGGATAGGCATTTGGGGGTGAGCAAACAGTAGGTCTAGCTTTATCTTGGGAAGCATATAAACACAAGGCTGCAATGCCAATTTGCCTCTAGAGCAGGAATTCTATTCATTAAAGCTTGGTTTAATGCCTCCATTTGAATGTTTCTATGTGCTGCATGAGGTATAGCCTAATCCCAGCTATAAGTCATTAGGATGCACGGGTGGTCTGTGTTGCAGCAGGATCACGCCCATGAGCATGACCTGCCTTGGGGAGGTTGCAGGCTTCCTGCCAGTATGACATTAATCTTTTGCAAACTACTATATTGCCCTGTGATAAATGCACCATCTTATTTAAATTGCACCTAATTATAAAATAATTCATGCTTCACCAAGAAACAAGCAGGGGAACTGGGATGATTCTGGTTTCATTGTGGTTTTGCATTGTAAAAGCTCCAGCTTTCACACTTATTGAATGTTTAAGGCACGTTCTCAATAACTTATAACAAACATACTTTTATGGGATGGGGGGTTGCAAAGACAAATTAAAAAATTACTTACTATGAATCAAAAGCTTTCATCAGAAACCTCTCTCCATTTGTTTCTTTTTGATACCTGTAATAAAAAAATGCCAGCTTTAAAATAATGGTCAGGCATGAACCTCCTCACGCTTAGCACAGATTTGAATTCTTTTCTAATGTCATTTTCAAATGGCTGTATACCTTACTGGCATAATCTCTTCAGCCGGCTAGAGGCTGTTGCTTACTGTGTTTGCTTTCTGTAGGCAGGACCCTTCCTCTAACTTTCACCAGAGCCTTTTCTGGCAATTAGACCTCTCACTCGATCTTTGACACAAAACACAAGTCCTGTTGAATATCAAAGAGGTCTTAACCTTACTATAAGAAAGAGAACAACGTCAGCTAAGATTAATGGCAATTAAACTAATTCCCTGTGATATGTAGGAGGGTTTACCAAAATTCCATCAATCTCACTGAAGTGATTAATCTTATATTCCTTGCATTTGATATGATGCCTTATCATGTCCTTGACACGTCGCAATGTGCTTCACAGCAATTAATGGTATGGATAACATTAACTTATACTGTTACTTCAAATGTCCAAGACAAGAAGGTGGAGTTGGAGGGCAGAAAGTGACAATAGCGAAACAAAGAATTAGAAAAGATGTTGGGAAAAAAGGAGAGTAATAAGCAAAATTATACAGAGAAAAATATTTGGATTAGTCAAAACACAGTTGGAATGCCTTATTGGAAGAGGTAATTTTACTGAACAGGTCACCATCACTGGGCCAAATGGCCTTTGTTTTTCCCTAGTGCTGATTCAGTGAAAGATTTACTTTACAACATTTACAGCAGCTGGAATAAATGAAGTTTTAATTCAATGATAGCAATTATACTGTGGAGATGCTACAACACACATACTATACATCAGATGAAGTGCACATACTGTACATCAGAGTGCTGTAATAATCTTGGACTCCATGATGAGTTTACCCAGGATATTAATGCATTGCAGTAAACAGAGCTGTCAACCAGAGCTGATTTAATATACTTGCACAAAACTACAACAAAAATTACATTTGTATAGCAGCTTTCACATCAAAAAACTAGACCACATTCTGAATTTCACATTGCAAAAATAGATAAACGTCTTCAATGTCCACCATAAAGCTGATTATTTTATTTCATCAGGTTTCTCCTGAAAGAAATATAGGATAGACTGTGGAAATTCAAAGGAGGATTACCTGCAATAAGTAATCTCAGCACACACTTAACAGCCATTTTTATAGCCAAATGATAATTTCCACTGTACAAAGAATAGTTTGCGTATAAGAGTCTTTTGTGCCTGCTCCGAGGACTACAATCACACTTCAAAACCCAGTTAATGATTTTGCAAGATTTCAATTCTTCTTTTCCAGATACAATTAATGGAACATTCCATGATACAGAAAATGGCTCTAATATGGATAATTGCTAATAGAAAAATGATCATGCAGGTTTCAAGTGAAAAGAAGAGGGTACCCTGTGCATAAAGCACATACATCATTGCGCATAAGCTTAAGGGTGTTTTATGTCTGGTATAAGTGGACAGCTAAGGAATGGTAACAGCCTGTCCGGAAGCAAAAAAAAAGGTGAGCTCGTGGGTTAACTGTCTCAAGTGAATGCTACATTTGGGCAAGAGATACTATCATATTACTGCACAGCAGCCAAATTGTTCCTAATCCAAAGTTTCCAGACAACTTTCGAAATAGTAAAAAAACCTAAAAAAACTGCCAATCTTACTTTACAGTGACAGTTTTTAAACAGTTATTTCTTGGCTAACATGCAGTTTCATTACAAAAAAGGAGTCATCCCACTCAGCTTCAGTTAACCCTGCAACCCAAGCCAAAGCCTTAACACGTAGGGTTGTTCTAGCTGGACAAGCAGTGGAAAAGCTTGCCAGAAATTACATTAGCATTGCTGACTTTCTTATGCAGGGATAGCTGTTTCATAAATGCTGTCAGGAATTTTTAAAATCACCAGAGAGAAAAAAGAAATATCTGAACCTTTTCAGGTTGTAAACGTTAACAATTCTTTATCATTATCATTACAATTCAGAAACAGAAGCGACATAGAAAAATTCGCTGTGTATTACTAAAATAATAAAAAGAGGAGACAATGCTCATTCGTAATGATATAGCATCTCTGGGTGCCCTGAAAACTTACACAGAGCTAAGAATAAATGATGTCCCTAAGCAAAGACACCAGCAGTTGTAATATAGACAAGAACAATAATGATCCATCTTCTGTTTTAATTCACCAGTTGTGAAGTTTACATGAAGGTCATTCTTCAATACAAACTAAAAAAAACTATAAATAGTATTATAGTATATAGTATATAATCCACAGATGTGGATTGAAGTGACCAATTTATTATTGGGTTTTTTTCTTGAGGGATTACTATCAGGCGTGTAGAGTAAGGAAACTTGCCCAAGATTTTTTACCCTGCCAGGAATCGAACCCAGGTCTCTCGCTTGCATGGCGAGTGCTTTAATCACTGAGCTACAGGACTCAACAGCTTATCACATCATTGAAATATCTCAAAGAGCTTCACAGGAAATATTGTAAAATTGATTGACTGTGCCAACAATATAGTATGAGTTAGGAGCTTACCGTTTTAACGCAGCAAGCAACAGCATATGCTTCATGTCTGGGATATGATTAATCCTATGAACCTTTCAGCAGTATCAAAGAGTAAAGTAAACTATTACTAATCTTGGGTAGGGAGTTGCATGGCCAAGATTCAAACCTATGGTTTTGCTGAGGTTTATATAGAGCTTGTTTCATTTTTGGCGCTATACAAATGTAATCTTGTTATTGTTATTAATTTTATTTAGTTAACTTTAATTAACTTAAATTACAGCACAACTTCTACAGTATTATTTGCTATCATGGAGGTCACCCCTCCTCCCCCCCCCCCCCCCGGTGGATAACTGAGGTTCCATTATTTCCCAAAGGTACTCCAAATTCAGAGGCAACTGTTGCTTATTTTATCATTGTTCTTTATACAAGGAAACCTATTTACGTCCAGTTACCAGAAAATTGCCAACAATCTTCCTTTATTCATTTATGCTGCACTGTGCAACGCAACAGAACAGTTTCAGCAAGCCAGTTTTATATCATTCTGACACACAATATGCTTTTATACAAAATGGGCCAAATGATTAATTACTTTGCTGTAGAGGCTCTTAGAATTTCTTTGAATATAATGATTTACTTTTAAAAAAAAGACTTAGAATGCATGGTGTATGTTAATCTTTTTGCTGCTGAAAATAACAGTACATGCTCTGGGGAGCCATGATGAAAGAGGAAGAAGATTGGATTAATCGGCACTCTCAATAATTCTCCATAATATCCTCCATTCTTTTTCATGGACAATATATTTCCACTGAAACCCTAATTGTCCACACTCCTAATTATTATTTTTCCTAATGAATCTCCATAAACAAGAAAATGAATAATTAGGAGTGTATATGTATATGCATTGTGTGTCAATCTGGCTGACTGCTAGCACTTTTGTCTCTTGAGTCAGAAGGTTGTGAGTTCAAGCCCCACGTCACGACTTGGAATCACAGACTAAGCTGACACTACAATGCAGTGCTGGTGGTATATCACATTGTTGAAGATGCCATCCTTCAGATAATAATAATAATCCTTGCATTTGATATAGCACTTTTCACGTCCTCTAAACGTCTCAAAGCGTTTCACAGAATAGACTGTAAAGTGAATTGACCGTATACTTGTGGGCGAAACGCGGCAGCCAATTGCGCACAGCAGTGTCCCACAAACAATCGCAGATTGAAAATGACCAATTTATTATTGTTTTGTTTTGGAGGGTTTATTATTAGGCGTGTGGAGTAAGGAAACTTGCCCAAGGTTTCGCCCAGCCTGGAATTGAACCCAGGTGTCTCGCTTGCGAGGCGAGTGCTCTAACCACTGAGCTACAGGACTCCACGGATGAGATGTTAAACCGAGGTCTGGTCTACCAGTTCAGGTGAATGTTAAAGATCCCATGGCACTATTCGAGAAGTTTCTCCCGGTTTCCTGGCCAACAAATCCCCCATTATTTATTTTTTTTGAAGGTTTTATTACCCACTGAAAAGCGATCTGCCAATCAACTAACCGGGTTTCTACTTACTGGTAGATAAACAGAGGTGTGTGGAGCAAGAAAACTTGCCTAACTTTTTGTTCCGCCAGGAATCGAATCCAGGTATTCTCGCTTGCCATGTGAGTGCTCTAGCCACTAAGCTACAGGATGCAGGAAGAGGAAAGTTGCATAATAATATAATAATAATAATCCTTGCATTTGATATAGCGCTTTTCACATCGGGAGGACGGCCCAAAGCGCTTCACAGAACACACTGTAAAGTGAATTGACTATATATTTATGGGCGAACCCGGCAGCCAATTGCGCACAGCAATGTCCCACAAACAGCCGTAGATTGAAAATGACCAATTTATTATTGTTGGTTTTGGAGGGATTATTATTAGGCGTGTGGCGTAAGGAAACTTGCCCAAGGTTTCGCCCTGCCTGGAATTGAACTCAGGTCTCTCGCTTGCAAAGCGAGTGCTCTAACCACTGAGCTACAGGACTCCACGAGGACTCCATAATTATTGATTGATTAATTGATTATACAGGACTCCATAATCAACCTATCTGATGGGTTTTGAATCTTAAAAAGAAAAAATTTGATCAGCACTCAGCCTACATCTAGAACACGGAGAGTGCTTCTACATTTGCCATTCTTTTGGTCGCTATCAGTATAGCATAAACCAATATTCTCTTGTTTCAGAAAATATTATTGTAGAAGCACGAAATCGGTGACAAACCCAGAAATGTATATGAATACTGTTAATTTGAGCGGGGATAAAAAGCAGCTCATGACAATTAGGTTAGGTCCTGTGTTCGTGAGAATGTAGAGTCCTAATGAACCTTGTGGCTACTCACTCAAAAGTTATCTCTTTAGTGACCACCACACTCCAGCAGGATTCATCCGAGCTGCATTAACTCACTAATCTCCTTTAGTTGCAACAATTCATAAAAAGTTATGTAGCTCA